TTCAGTCAATCTGCCTGTTCTGCTCCCCACTCTGTCTCTGGTGAATCTTCTCACAGCCCCTCCACCCCAAACCTCTGGCCTACACCTCAGGTCTTATATGCATAAAGAAAGAAATCTTAAAAAAAAGAATTCATAAGTTGATAGCGGTAACAAAGAGGAGAATAGGAGCGGAGGTAGTTTTTCTTTAATTAAAATTGACAGCTACTCTATGCAAAAGGAATGACAGAATTAGAAACTCACCACTTTGCAACCATTAACAAAATAATCAATTTGGGCAATAAATGATAATAAATTCTAAATTAATGGATGGAAGGTTAGGAGAAATAGGATATACACAGTTTCAAAGTATTACACCCTCCCCACCACCACACACGCATACACACAAGTGCATACCCACACCCACACACTCCTCTTACTCTGGTCACTATCTTTCTCGCTTTGTTCCCTTGCATTTTTTTTTCCCTTTCATTCAAGTCAAAGAAGGCTTTTCTTATTCGGAAATATGGGGTTAAGATGAACATCTGTTTCCTCTCCTAATAATTATCTAAAACATTTTGCACCTTCCTCTAAAATCCTAGGTTTTGGAAACCAAAGCCACCTAATTGCTTTAACTAGCAACAACATGGGGGAGAAAGAAATCACATAGATATACTATAATCATTACCCTTCAACATACCAACATACCATGGTTACCAAAGGAGACTAAAACATCCTAAGGTACAAGTGAACGCAGAATAGTATTACTGTTAATAACTATATTAAATTCACCAGCAGAAAGCGCTGACTCAAAATATAACATTAGGAAGAACATAGTTCACCCTAACACTTTAAACGCATCTATCACTTTTAAGAGTAAATTCAAGGCCTCCCTGGTGGCGCAGGCAGTTGAGCATAGCGCTGTGAAGCTGTCCGCAGCCTCTGCAGTGCGGGTTCAATCCCGGCCGGCAGTGGAGATACCCACATGGCGCAGCAGACCTCTCCTGTATCGCCCGTTGCTCCCCTCAGCAGTGTATTTCAGTCAGTCTGCCTGTTCTGTTCCCAGCTCTGTCTCTGATGAATCCTCTCACCCTCCCACATCTGGACTGTACCCCAGTTCTTGCATGCATGAGTAAATAAATCTTAAAAAAAAAAAAACAATTAAAAAAAGAGTAAATTCAAATAACTAGAACCAGAGAAATCTCCATATCAAAGTTTAGAGTGAGAGTTTTACATACTACTCTAATTTAAAGTTTCATGAAAATTTCCTTCATTATTCGGATTAAAGAACTAGACATAAGACCTGAAACCATAAAATATATAGAAGGAAATATAGGCGAAACACTACGTGATTTGCACATCAAAGACATCTTTACAGACACATCACCCAAAGCAGTGATAGTGAAGGCAAAGATAAACAGCTGGGACTACATCAAATTAAAAAGCTTCTGCACAGCAAAAGAGACAATAACAAAAACAAAGAGAAACCCCACCAACTGGGAGAACATTTTTGCACCCAACACTAATGATAAAGGACTGATCACAAAAATCTGCAAAGAGCTGATGAGACTCAGCAACAACAAAGAAAAGAATCCAGTCAAAAAATGGGCAGAAGAGCTAAAAAGAAACTTCTCTGAAGAGGAAATGCAAATGGCCAACAGGCATATGAAAAAATGTTCAACATCACTTGTCATCAGGGAAATGCAAATCAAAACTACCATGAGATACCATCTTACACCAGTGAGAATGGCACATATTAAAAAAACTAGCAACAACAAATGTTGGCGAGGGTGTGGAGAAAAAGGAACTCTTCTGCACTGTTGGTGGGAGTGCAAACTGGTCCAACCACTGTGGAGAGCTGTGTGGAGATTTCTGGACCTACTAAACATAGAGCTTCCATATGATCCAGCAATTCCACTCCTAGGTATTTACCCAAAGGACACAGAAACATCCATTCCAAAGAACACCTGCACCCCTATGTTTATAGCAGCACTGTTTACAATAGCTAAGCTTTGGAAACAGCCCAAATGCCCAAAAATAGATGACTGGATCAAGAAGATGTGGTACATATATACCATGGAATATTACTCAGCATTCAAAAAAGATAAACACATGCAATTTGCAGCAACATGGATGGCACTGGAAGGGATCATGCTCAGCGAAATAAGCCAAAAAGAAAAAGAAAAATACCGGATGGTCTCACTCATAGCAGGAATCTAGAAAACTTAAATAAGGGACCAGGAAAACGAATAACTATAAGAAAGTGAAAAGCAAAATCAACAAAAAACTACGAACCAGAGACACTTTTAGGGGGTGGGGGTGGGAGGGGAGGGATTGGGGTCAGAATGGGGGAGCTGCAATTGTATGGGGAATATAAAAATAAAATTTATTATTTTAAAAAAAAAGGCGCGCAGACCTCTCCTGCCGCCCGCTGCTCCCCTCAGCAGTGTACTTCGGTCCTTCTGCCTGCTCTGCTCCCCACTCTGGCTCTGGTGAATTCTCTCACCCTCCCGCGCTTCTGACTGTACCCAGTGCATGTATAAACAAAAAACAAACAAATAAAATAAATAAATAAATAAAACATGCCTCTATTTAAAAAAATAAATAAATAAAAAATAAAAAAAAATTAAAAATAAAAAAAAAATTTCCTTCATTATTCAAATCACAATTTTAAATAAATGCATAATATTTGAGCTTATGACTAATGTATAACTTACTGTGGTTTAACTAAGTCATTTTCAAATCTTGCTATTTAAATAGTTTTACAAGCCATCTTTGTACAAATATCTTTGTCTGCTTCTTGATTAAACAGGGTAAATTTCCAGAAATATGACTACTGAATCAAAGACTATGGATATTTTAAAGGATCTTGGTACATATTGCCAAACCTGTTCTAATATATACACCCATCTGTACTGGACATTATAATTAAAATAAAGTATTTCTCTAATTGGAGAAAAATACCAGTGTCATGAATGAGCAAAAAGGGAATTTTGAGGGGAGAGTGGTGGTGAAAAGGGGTTAAAGGAAATTTAAAAATAAGGGCAACCAAATAAAATGTGTGATTCTTAATTAGATCATACAGTAGAAGGAAATGGCTATCAAAATAGTTGGGGGAAAAATTAGGGAATTCTTAATGTGGATGGTATATTACATATTATTGTATCAATGTTAAATCTCTTGATAATGGTATTTTAGTTATGTAGCCTGTCTTAGCCTTTAGGAATGCTGATATGTCATGAAGTCTGACTCAGAAAATACAGTGTGTATTTTTGTATATATGTATCTAGTAATAGAGATAGCCATATGAGAGGTGGGGAGGAAGGAGCGCAAATCTGGCAAAATGTTAATTATTGAATCAAGCAAAGGGTAAACAGGTGCTCACTGCACTATTCTTTCAATTTTTTTGTAAGTTTAAAATTTATCAAAATAAAAAGATATGTGGAAGTTGTCAAAAGATAGGAATAGACTGTTCATAGAAAAATAGGTTAGTCAGTAAGTCTATGAAAAATGTATAATAATAAACTTGTTGATTATTTATGGCCTTTCATTTCTTCCTGCCCACTTGGCATTTGCTCTTTAATCACTTTAACTACATTTCCTCAAATAAGTCCAGAAAGGAATAGGAAATGAAATCCAATCACTCTATTTCACTTCTCAAAAAGGTATAAAAGATTGAAAAGCACAAAGTTAGCTCATTATAATGAATACTAAAAAGACCTACAGACTTTAATTCACAATCTGGTCTTCAATTCAGATTCTGGTGCCCTATAATCTTAAAAGTTTGATAAAAAAAATTAGTAATAAACCATATGGACAACAGGTGGTGTTTTTTAAAAAATTTTTAAAAAGTCAACCTCTACTATTGATCTTACTTTTGTCAGGAAAGTAGATTGTAGAATGGAAGGCCACCAACTGCTTTACAAACCATGAATGACTGGAGGAATTACCCCTCATAAACATTATGAAGAAAGTATACACAGCCAGGCAAGGAATGAGAGAAGGAATTAATTGTCTGTTTGAAAATTCCCTTTATCACTTACTATCTATGTGATTTGTAGAAAATTACTCAATCTCTTTATACCTCAGTTTCCTCATCTGAAAAATGAAGACCACAATAAAAAAATCTATGTCTTAATGTTTCCGTGAAGATTTAATAAGTACACTTTAGCCCTAACAGCTACATCTGGCATACTGTAAGACCTCAAGATAGATCAGTTGCTATGGTTCTTACTACTACTAGTATTACCACAATAACTATTACTATCATCACCACCACTTTCATGCTGCAGTTGGTAAGAAACACAACACACACAGACATACCATAGGGTCGAAAAAATGAAAACCCAGACTCCATATCAATCCTTTACTGTCTTCTCAATCTACAGAGAAACTGAGAAGATGGTATCCAACAATATGTAGCTCATTTCAAGATGGAACCTGTGTGATCTGGATTCTCTCCCTCAGTTAATCATTTTTCAAGTTTTATTGAGCCTCAGTATGCATCAGATATTGAGTCAAATGCTAGGAATACAAAATGGAAAATTCCCATGCTTTTAAAAATTTTCTATTCTTGTCAAAGAAACAAACATAGCTTATAATATTTGATAGGCTATATGCACAGAGTAGTATGAAAGCACTGAAGAGAGAAACCAAAGGTGAACTTAGGAAAAGGAAGAAACAGTAGAAAGATCTCCCAGAGGTAATGACATTGAAGCTGAGCTTTAAAGAATAGTAATAGGTTAATTAGAGACAAAAAGGAAAAATCATATGTCCAGGGTAAAAGCTAGCAAATGGAGAGAAAAGATGGGCACCTTGCCCTCTACAGTCACACAAAACCTAAAGACCTTTTCCAGAGTTAAAGTGCCAACAGTCACTGGGAATATGAGCCTGAATAGCTATGCTTCTGGAATATCTTCTTTTTATACAAAGTACATCTCCACCCTCCCCAACTCAAAATAAGCCACAATTTAGAAAACATAGCTGTAGTTAAGAAAAGATGCAGAGACAAGTTTCTCACTTACAACACTGGGCGGCAGCAGTGGGCAATGGTTTCCTCTGGCTTTCTTCTTGAATAGAATACTAGAAACAGAAAGGAGAAAAAAACATATAATAAGAGGCATAAGTAGAGAAGAAAAAGTCACAGCAACCTGTAAGAAAAGGTTTAGCATTTGACTGGAGTCACATTTTTTTACTGAACAGAATAGACCATCCTGTATGGTTACCCTCTATGATCCTGACATACAGGTAAGACTATCAAATATGGGACTGGCCCAATTCAACAGTTAGCGCTAAAGCAGGATATCAGAGAGGCTGTTTTGACCAAAGGCTCCTGGACACCCTTCCAGTTCAGTCACAAAGCTGTAGAAGGCTTAGTCTTACCATCTTTGAGGAGCCTTAGAGGACAGAATACACAGAGGACTGAATTTGGATTATATATGGGATAATGTATAAATTTCCCGATGTTGGGTAGTGAAATTGAAAACCTCTTTGAGATTAAATTTTCTGCTCTTTAAAAAAAGGAAAAGTGCTTCTTCCACACAAGGTCATGTGGGAAGAGAAATTGCTTATTTAAACATGTATTACAACATGCAGTATCTACCAGAGTTCCCTTCCCACTTTATACTCTAACCTCTCCAACCTAACCCACCATCATTACCACCAAAAAACAAATACAGAGTACTGAAGTCATTTTAAAAATGTCTATAAAAGAAAACAGAACTAAGTCCAAGTCTTGAGGATGAGCAGGATTTAGAAATGCAAAACAAAAAGAGAAAGGCATTTAAACAAAATAGCAGAGGAACATACAGTGTAGAAGACAGAATAATTTGGTTCAAAGCCCATGGAAAGATGTAAGTTGGTCTAGCAACTTACAAATACAAGATTTGGAGTTCTCTTCCTGACTGTGCCACTTATTAATAAGCTATGTGATCCTAGGCAAATGAGAGCTTTTATGAAACTGCCAATGAAGAAGTCATTCATTCAACAGCTATTTCATGAATCTGCAGTATGTACAAGCCTTGTTCCAGGCTCTGGAGGAATGGAAATTGTAAATCATGGTAAGGAGTTTGGATTTTATTCTAGGGTACTGGGAAGTCATTTAGAGTTTTTTTTCTTTTCACATATAAATGTTAGTGCTTTGTATTTAAGGTATTTCTTTTTTATTAATTTTTTTACATCATTGTTCATTTTTAAACAATATTTGCTTGCCCTCACTCCCTCAGGTATAGTCACCATACAGTTTACTTCACCAATGCACCTGTGCACCATCACCACAATCCCCTGTGCTCTTCCCTCCCTCCCTCTGATTCCTCTCCCTCCTCCTCCCTGCAGGATGTCTCTGATTTATAATTGTCCATTTTTGCTTTGTTGTGTTTTGTACTATTATTATTTTTTTTTACACTGATGTCTTAATTTGGTTCCCCTATATTCCTGCTATAAGTGAAACTATCCAATATTTTTCTTTTTCCTTCTGGCTTATTTCACTGAGCATAATTCCTTCTAATTCCGTCCACGTTGCTGCAAATGGCATGAGTTTATCTTTTTTGATTGTTGAATAATATTCCATTGTGCATATATACCACATCTTCTTGATCCAGATCCAGTCACCTATTTTTGGGCATTTGGGTTGTTTCCAGGTTTTACCTATTGTAAATAGTGCTGCAGTAAACATAGGTGTACAGGAGTTCTTTTGAATCATTGTTTTTGTGCCCTTTGGGTAGATCCCTAGTAGTGGAATTGTCGGGTAATATGGTAGCTCCATTGTTAGTAGACTGAGGAACCTCCAGACAGCTTTCCATAGTGGTTGGACCAGTCTGCACTCCCACCAGCAATGTAGGAGAGTTCCTTTTTCACCACATCTTCACCAACATTTGTTGTTGCTTGTTTTTTTGATACGTGCCATTCTTAATGGTGTAAGGTGGTATCTCAATGTGGTTTTAGTCTGCATTTCCCTGATTATAAGGGATGTTGAACATTTTTTCATATGCCTGTTGGCCATTTGCATTTCCTCTTTGGAAAAATGTCTTTTAAGTTCTTCTGCCCATTTCTTGACTGGATTGTTTATTTTGTTTTTGTTGAGTCGTGTGAGTTCTTTATATATCTTTGTGATCAGTCCCTTATCAGTTGACTGGTGTGCAAAGATTTTTTTCCCAGTCAGTGGGGTGTCTCTCTGTTTTGGTTAATGTCTCTTTTGCTGCACAGAAGCTTTTCAGTTTGATGTAATCCCAGGTGTTTATCTTTTCCTTTACTTTCTTTGCTTTGGGTGATGAGTCTTTAAATATGTAATTGCGATGTATGTCTTGTAGTGCTTTACCTATATTTTAATCAACCAGTTCAGTAAAGTAGCAGAATACAAAATCAACACACAAAAATCAGTATCCTTCCTATACACAATCATCTTAAGAAGAAGAAATCAAGAAAACCATCTTTTTTATAATTGAAACAAAAAAAATCAAATATGTGGGAATAAATCTAACAAAAGAAGTGAAAGACCTTTACAAAGAAAATTATAAAACACTGTTAAAAGAAATAGAAGAAGACACAAAGAAATGGAAGACATCTCCTGCTCATGGATTGGAAGAATTAATATTATTAAAATGGCCATCCTACCAAAAGCAATATACAGGTTCAGCGCTATTCCAATAAAAATCTCAATGACATTCTTCAAAGAAATAGAACAAATACTGATGAAATTCATATGGAACCACAAAAAACCACGAATAGCCAAAGCCCTACTGATGAAAACAAAGAAAAAAAGAGGTATCATACTTCCTAACTTCAAGCTATATTACAAAGCCATAATAATTTTTTTTTTAAAGATTTATTTTATTTATTTATACAAGCACTGGGTACAGTCAGAAGCGCGGGAGGGTGAGAGAATTCACCAGAGCCAGAGCTGGGAGCAGAGCAGGCAGAGTGACGAAGTACACTGCTGAGGGGAGCAGCGGGCGGGCGGCAGGAGAGGTCTTCGTGCCATGTGGGACCCTCCTCCGGTGGCCAGGGAGCAGCCGGGGATTGAACTGGCGCTGCAGAGGCCGTGGGCAGCTTCGCAACCCAGCGCTCAACCGCTGCACCACCGGGGAGGCCCAAGCCATAATAATTAAAACAGTTTGGTATTAGAACAAAAACAGACACACAGACCAATGGAACAGAACAGAGAGCCCAGAAATAAAACCACATTTATATGGACAACTGATCTTTGACAAAGGAGCAAAGACTATGCAATGGAACACAGACAGTTTGTTCAATAAATGGTGCTGGGAAAACTGGACCACCACATGCAAAAAAATGAAACTAGACCACTCCCTCTCGCCGTGCACAAAAATCAACCCAAAATGGATACGAGAACTACACATAAGACCTGAAATCATTTAGCATTTAAATGTAAGAGGAACATAACTTAATTAAACATCAAAAAATTGCTCCAGCTGTTATATGAGATGAACTATAAGGAATAAGAGGGTAACTAGACTCATGTTACAATAATTCAACAAAAGTTGATTTGGCTTATATAGGACTGTTAAATATGTAAAGTACCTTACAAGCAATAAGCTGATACAAATATCAGAGGTAGATAATGCTATTACTATTTCCAATAGAGGATCATCAGAAGTCAAGCACAATTTAAACAATGTAACAGTATTAACAAAAATGCCAATGATAAAAAAAACATTTAGGGACCTCCCTGGTGGCGCAGGCAGTTGAGCGCAGCGCTGTGAGGATGTCCGCAGCCTCTGCAGCGCCAGTTCAATCCCTGCCGGCCTCGGAGCAACCCACATGGTGAGCAGACCTTTCCTGTCTCGCCCGCTGCTCCCCTCAGCAGTGTATTTCATCAGTCTGCCTGTTCTATTCCCAGCTCTGTCTCTGGTGAATCCTCTCACCTTCCCCCTCCCGCACATCTGGCCTATACTCCAGTTCTTGTAAATAAAATAAATCTTAAAAAAAAAAAAGTATTGCCTATTTCTTAAAAAAAAAAAAAAAAATTTAGAACTTCTTGAATATGAAGCAACCCACTCCAAAGTAACAAAGGGATTTTGTTATACATAATAACCATTGTAATTATTGATGACTTATGTAGACAATACACAGGCATAACAGCAAAGAAATCCTGGGTGTCCTTGGTGGCGGTAAAGTGCAGCACTATGAGGTTGTCCACAGCCTCTGCAGCACAAGTTTGATCCCCACATGGAGCAGCAGACCTCGCCTGTCTTGCCTGTTGCTCCCCTCAGCAGTGTATTTCAGTCAGTCTGCCTGTTCTGTTCCCCACTCTGTCTCTGGTGAATCCTCTCACCCCCTGCATCTTTGGCCTGTACCCCAGTTCTTGTATGCATAAATAAATAAATCTTTTAAAAAAAAAGTGAAAAAATCCTAAAACTTTAGGTTTTAGGCTTAAGAGATGATAGTAGGTATTTTAAGAAGTCATATTTGATGAATCTTTCCTAGGCCCAAAGCAAAAAGCTAAAGTCCAAGTATAGCCTAATTAGTAATATTAAGAGAGCTAAAGGAAAAATCTGTAACATCTATGTATTTAAAAAAAATAGAAAGTGTCTAAGAAAGGGAAATTACAGGTAAATCTCACTTATGAAATTATAAATCTTACTTATCAATAAATCCTAAATAGATTATCAAGTCAATACCATATTTATATGATATATCCATCATAAACATTTCTATGTGAATATGTAAGCATGTGTGTGCATGAGTATGTATGTTGGCATACAAATGGTCATATATCATGACTTTGTAGGCTTCAAATGCAAAGATAGTTCAATATATGAAAATCTATTCATGTAATTCACTACAATAAGCAGACTGGGGCCTCCCCAGTGGCGCAGTGGTTGAGCGCTGGCTGCGAAGCTGCCCACAGCCTCTGCAGCACCGGTTCAATCCCCAGCCAACTGCAAGGGTCCCACATGGCGCGCAGACTTCTCCTGCTGCACCGGCTGCTCCCCTCAGCAGTGTACTTCATCAGTCTGCCTGTTCTGCTCCCCACTCTGGCTCTGGTAAATTCTCTCACCCTCCCGCGCTTCTGACTGTACCCAGTGCTTGTATCAATAAATAAATAAATCTTTAGAAAAAAA